AAAAGTCATGCCCCCCTAAGGATCATGCCCGCGTATCAATTCGTCATGCCCCCCTATCAATTGCCAATATAATATAGCCTATTTTTATTAGGTATATAGATCGGCGATGTATGAAATAGGTTAAGTATATGGATTAGGCACTAAGTATTTTACTATTAGAGCTAAATCTCTTAGCTAATTACTCTTATATTTTAAAAATAATAAGAGGATAAATATAAAAGTTATTCATAAGTAATATAAGGGAAAACTATTAAACTTTCTAGAAATCCCAAGTATTTAGGTCATAACCGAGAAAGTATTATGCTGCTTCTAGTAAAACAGCTTTGAGTTATTCTTGAGAATCTTAACTATTCTGGGGTCTAATTAGCTCCGTGATATAGTCGCATCGGACTCCTTGCACTAGTAATTGCTCTTTGGTGAATATATATGCTCTCTCGGCTAAGCAAAGTGCAGCGCGACCATAAGTCATGGATCGTATATGCTGTATCCTCTCTAAGTCAGGTATCCATGTTAGTTCGGAGGCCGAGTTGCATAGCGATAGTAACTTGAGATCTTTATGGTATATTGAAGCCCAAACTAAAGCATTGCGATAAACATCCTTAATATTCTTTCTATAGTTAATATCAATTTCGCTAATAAAGCTACCCTCTGCGAGACCTAGCAGGGCATATACCCTATCCCTTGGTTCTATAGCCTCACAGGTGTGGATAAAGGTTACAAGCGAGAAAAAGTCTCTTAAGTATGGAAGGGCGGAAAAGCTGCGTGCGTTGGCGAACTCAATCATCAGGTGAAGGTTAAAGTTGATCATACCAGCCAATGCCTCCCTTTTCGAAGCAATAATTTCTATTGCGCTCCTAAAATGCACCCAAAGAATACTATCGCCGCCGACAATAAGCATAATATCTCTACCTGCCAGTAAGATTTCCTGATATACCTATAATCGACGGAACTAGGACTGCGATATCAAGGACGCTATAGCCTCCCACTGGCGCTTAGAGAAAGGCATTAGCTTCGTCCAGTCGTGGCTGATATCTGAGTTCTTTCTTATAATAAGGTCATACTTATCTTTCTTAAATGTTATCCAGTTATCTATAATATCGTTCTCCTCATTAGTAAAGTCTATATAGTTAGCGAGCTCTTACAGGAGGGTAATAGCAATGAGGCTATGCTTATCTATAGGACTAAGCTAGGCTATAATATAGTAAGCATACTTATATATATAACGCATTAGCTGAACCTGCGCGGATCGCTTATCGATATCTTACTGGTTGATATATATTGAATCTACCTATAGGGTTTGGCTGTTGTCCTTGTGACGGAGGTATCGCAAAGCAAGAGCGAGGTTGTAACCAATAGCTAGTGATCCAGAGGGGATCTTATCGCAAATGCATGAATTGCCTTGAGCGATTAGTTTCGGATTTCGCAGATGTATATAATCTGGGTTTGACTGGTCGCCCCAGGTATATGATAATGCTTCGTACTTCATCACGTGTTCGCTGGGGATATATTTATCGGCGATAAGAGCACCTGAGAGTGCGTCTCCCTCTTTTCCTGCATCGAGGACTAAGAGTCTAATCTCTTTATCATGTAACGCTGTGTATTTAAAGTTGTTAGTAGCCATCTTGAGTTTAAGGTATATAACATAACCTGCCTGAAGCGGTTAACAGTTCTAAATAAAGAATGAACTTGTGCTAAAGTCATGTGATAATTGATAAGATCTAGGGCTGGGTTAAAGTTCACAGCTTAAGTCCCCCTACAGCTAAAAACCACTTTCATTCCTGCGAGCGCATAGGCGAGAATTTGGAATGTAAGGTTAGAGTACACTGATGTGTTTGCCGTAGATCCAACTGGGAAGTGATTCTTAGATATAATTCCGTTTGAGCACTCTGCAGAAAGATGTTAGCATAATTGTTTGACTTTGCAGTTAGCGACTAACCTTTTTGGGAATAAGGTCCTAAATCTGGATCTGAGATACCGCATACTGGAGAGGAGTGGGGCTGCATGGTTTATCTCAGCCCCCGGGAAAGTAAACGTTTTTTTCTTGGTTGCCGAGACATGTAAATCAGTGGAGAGAGCTTATCATTAGTACTATCTTCACGTATGTATGTACTATTAAAGGGCTTCACGACCAGACGCGGATACATCTTCAGGATGGATGTAACCTCTTCTAGGAGATTGAGGGCTATGGCACTAGAGATGCAAAGACTTCGCAGAAGTCCGACAGCTGGATTCCATCGATTCCAATATCTATTGCTTCTGTTCAGTCCCTTCTCATAAATCTCAAACTGCATACAAACGCGCTTAATCATAGCGGTATTACTAATAGTCCCACTCTACTATCCCAGAGCAAGACACTTAGCGCATGGCGTTTCTATACAGCACCATTACCTTCCGCTATTCCGACGCCAGAACACGTTGGCCAAGCCCACCGCGCTGCCAAATCTCTGTGCAATAGACTTATCCTATTCTCAAAAGAGAATGCCAAGCATCTCGGGGATCTTCATACAGGGAAGTCTAGACTAACTAGGCTCTCCATACTAGCAGCACGACAAGAAATGCATACGCGATACTTTAAAGAAATCAGCAAAGCAATCAAAATATTCCAACAAGAGATGACCACAACCGGCTTTGCGAAGTTAGAAGCACATACTATTCTCCCTATGCGCTTGTTCCACACGACTAGCCGCGTGCTTTTCATTTAAGACCCTAACGAGCATGACTTGGTGAAGCGTCAATAAGGTCTCCCAGCCCTGTTCACCTCCATAGTCGACCTCTGCGAGCAAATCATAAATCTTGATCCTACAAAGACCCGCGGTATATCCTACACTCCACAGCTCTTCCTTGTTGCTCACAGTAGTACTAAACTGGCAATACGCCAGCGTGCCATAAGCCTGCTCCGTCACCCGCGACTGGATAGTAGGTGGGATAGTCTTATATCTGCAAGTATTGCCGAGGAAATTATGGATAGAGAGAGGGAATCAGCATTGCAATACTTGGGAAGTAAGATTAGAAGGCAAGAAGAGGATGAGACTGATCCTATGTTTCGCATATTTAACTTTACGTTTGCTTTTAGAGGGAGTAGAAAAGCACAAACTGTCCTGCGAACCTGGTATGAAATACTCAATGAGATTCCTGGCCAGGTGAGTGTGATACAGTGGTAATAATTAATTTGACATAGCTTCATTAGTAAATCTAACTGCTAGCCGTGTGTGCACTTTCGAGACCAAGGTTGATGAAAACGAAGTATAGCCTGGCTTATCTTATCTCCCAGCTTCATGTGTGTTTAATGAATCTACCCAATGCGGCATAGTCTACGTTCAATTCCAGGCTAGTCATCTTGAGCTTTGATTCGTTGGGAGACTAGGCGATCAACGACAAGTGGAGTCTGCTCAGTTAAA